TTTTTTTTATTTTCAATTGTTCAATCTTTATTTATACAGATAAATCACACTGAGCCTCAAAGACTCATTTATAAGTGAGACCTGTTTGGACTGACAATAAAGTGAAAGTGACAACATAGGCTTTGGAGACAAAAAATCAGCTTAATGCTTAATGGTTAAATTAAAAGTTAATGATGGAAACTAGTTGTGTTTTGTTTTGTGTGTTTTAAATGTAGATATATGTTGTAACTTCTGGTTGCACAAGTTTAGTCTTTGTTATGAACAGTTAACACTAAACTGATTTTGTACAAAGCGTAAAGGTTGTGTAATGTAAAGCAGAGTGCTATGTCTGTAGCATCTTATATAGTGCGTCTGTATTGTGCACCGCTAGCTTAGCGCTAGTTCTTGTTGTGCCGAGCTCTCTAAAAAAGTTATTGAATCAAGTGTTTACTTATGTAAGTAAACATAGATGTTTATAAAGCCATGAAAATGCAACAGAATGCAGGAAATAGCATCTAATTTATTCAAAATTTTCTGGGGGAAGACTCCTAAACCCCACCACCACCAGTGTATCCTGCAACCCCACACACATTACAAATACTTCTGATGCCATCTGAATTGTATTTCAGTTCAGTTTCAAATGGATTCTCTTTTCAAGAGTCATATTTCATGTGGCTTTCTTTCTGGGCTCTTCACGCTTGGCTGGAAGCCACCGAAGGTGAATGAGTCACAGAATGAGCCCCTGTGACTGTCTCGGTGTGCCCAGCTCTGATGAAACGTGTGACGTCACGCTGGAATCATGTTCCTTCATCCAGACACAATAACTCGGTCAGCATGTGCACCAAATGTCATGATTTAGAGAAGGCGACCTGCACGCTGTGAGCCCTGTCTCATATTTCTGCAGAGCAAATGGCTTCAAGGACTGAGCTCAAACACATTATTCCCTCTCAAGAAGTTCTGAGTGAACAGAAGAGGTGGAAAAAAGAGGGGATGGAGTGTCTGATTTGTTTAGGTCGGGATAAAAGTCGCCTCAACACAGCAACAGAAACATTATAAAGAAGACCAACCATCCCTTATTCAGCCTATTGTTTCTGGGAGCGTAGATCAGATGCTAAACACATCTCACTCCCCGCTCTAACATTAGCTCTGAGGTCAGAGCCTCGTGACGTTATTCCTGTCATGTCTGCATTCTTCAGCTCCAGCTTTATCTTTTCACTTCAGTCTGTGTTGTGTGAGTTTAGCATTTCCAGTCATGACAGCAGCCTTTCCACCACTCAAACCAAAATCTGACCACCAGTGGAATTAAAGGCCTAACGTTCCTTATAGGACCATACTGCCCACCACCTTTCATGACAGCCTTTTTGACTAAGTGATGGAGTTGAAGCTGTTTCAGTCAAACAACACTGTGAGTTGTCACGCTAACAGTATGTGTTGTGAATGGCTACTACCACACCAAGTTTTAGTTCAAAATCTGTAAAACTGACAGAGTTTTGGCATCTTTTATATTAATATTGATTGGATGATGGCAGCCATCTTGACTTATTAAGTTAAACAGATGTAGATGTCCATCCAGTGATTACTTTCTGCAAGTTTCATAAAAAATTGTCTGTTGGTTCATAAGAAATTTTGCTAACAGACATACAAACAGACAAAACATTATATTCTTCCTTTTGTGGTGGTTGATAAACTCTATAGAACGTTAACCTGACAGCAACGTAAAGGTTTATAAAATAGAGTTTGCATAAATGCAATAAAACTTTTTAGATTAAATATCCTGATGCATGCTCAATAATCCAGGTATCAAAATCTAACAAAGTTAAATCAGGTCCTCCGAACAGATAACAAAAAAACAACTTGTTGAAACATTTTAACTGACTGACGAAGTCCTTTGGATTAAAGAGGAAACTTTTTAAAAAGTTTTTTTTTTTTTAATCCGTCCAGAGGACCTGACTTAACTTTGTTAGATTTTTAGATTAAAGTTGTTTTAGGATGACAACCATACAGAATATCACCAAATTGCATGCTCAATAATCCAGGTACAAAACCAACAATGTTCATTCAAGTCATTTGGATGGTTTTTCTTTTTCTTTTTTGCTGAGACGTTTCGTCCTTCATCCAAAGGACTTCTTCAGTCCGAGGTGCAGAATAGCCTTTGTAGCTCAGTTTAAATATTTATAATATATTTATAACTCAGTCAAAAACAAACTTAACTAATTTATTTCTCAAGTTGTCCAAAGAGCTTGCCACAACAGGCAAAATATTTGTTCATAACCTTTCAACAGGACCCACTTAAAAAGATGTGTTGTATTGCTCTAAAGTTAAAATCTACATACATTTTCTTCTTGACACCTTTTAACCTAAACATGACACTGCACAAAAAAATCACACTGAAAGAGAACTTTAAGTGTAAAAAGAGAAAATTTGCAAATTGACCCCAAACAATGAAGCTAATTATGAGAAAGAAAGTAGGACAGTTGTAATAAATTTGCATTAAGCACCAGCAACAATTAAACACTCGATAATTCAACACAAAACACAGAATAATTCCCATCCTTAATCCAAAGAGCTAATTAGAACAGAAAATACAAGTGGACTACATTCTGCAGCCTTCACATGTGTCTATGAATAAACGCACTGATGCCTGCTGGCTAACTTCAGCATGAATCTGCGAGCTGTGATTGGCCGCTTCGTCGCAGAGACTTGTCTGACTGAGCACCTCCTGGCTGAGCCGTTCAAAGGAGGACGTCACATTACAGGCAGCGGATATATCAGCCAAAACTGGGTCATAGGAAGAATTATCATCCAGTTCAGATCAGATGATGCAACATCTGGGAACCTCTTTCTGCTGCAGACCCCGATTAAAATCCTTTCAGCGTTGGGGTGAGTGGTTAAACTGGGCTTGTCAGAAATATATATATATATATATATATATATATATATATATATATATATATA